ATCCTAGAGGACATGTACCTGAAGAATCTCGGAGCACTCTCTGATTCCACAATCTTCGTCTCTAGCAGATATCTTTGTCGCGTGAGGCAGCGCTCCAGCCTCTTGCGCAGTCGTTTCGTCCCGGTGACATCTGAAGCAGGGCATCCATTCAGTGCGCTCTCCAGGCGTTGGATGCACTGAGCAATCGGACGGTCATTCCGCATGTTCTTGCGAGGAACATGAATGTCGACAAGGAAGCGAAGGTATTCTGTCAGTATGCTGTACATGTCGTCAGCCGTCTCAGAATTCTGAAACATCTGTTGCCAGTTGGTGGCCAACAGCGACGCATTTATCGCCTCGTAGTCAGCGCGCTCGAAATCATGCTCGTTGCGCACAGGGCAGCCCTTGACAACACCATCAAAGGAAAACATGATGCCCAAATGATCTGACTCAACTGGGTTAGGCACAACAACAACGTCGTCACAGTCCAACATTCCGTGTGTACACAGAACGAGATCAATCAGAGCACCGCTGGCCGGTCGGGTTATCTCCGTCACCAGCTGCTTCAGGCCGTTCGAGACACAGAAATCGAGAAGTATCCTTTCCTTAGGATGACCACCCGCCAAGCGTCCTCCTTCAGACCAGTCGATATGGGGGCAATTAAAGTCACCCATGATTATCACAGAGCTCGAGGTACAGAGCAGTCGTTCCATCTCCTCCGTGAGTAGATTACGAGATTACGAAATCCTACGCTTTTCGGAAATAATCGAAAACCCCAGCTGTGACATCGCCCGATAGCGTTCCGTGGATCCGCTCGAAAGTAATTCCGGCCGATGCGCTGGTTAAGGTATCGTCTAATCCGTCGCATCTGCCTCTAGATAGCGGAGTCCATTGTTCTGAGTGTCCTGCTCCCTGATGCGTCGCGTCGGCTCCTGTCGTCAACCTAGAGGATCTCTCCCCATTGAGACCTTCCGCTGGCGACCCAGAGGAACTTCCGAACTTTTGACAGAGGGCTTCTGCTCCAGCAGACGCTGCAACCGGAAACGGGCGCATCTCGATCTTCAATGTTCATCGCCTGAAAATGTATCTCGTATTCTTTTTATCTCAAAATAAACATCAGATCCACTCCCGCGAGCGCTCAACCGCAGACTCGAACTGACAGACTTCAACTAACACCCAAACTTATTATTTTCATGAGCCACTTAATTATACGACTTACGTGGGCTCCTTCTGAAGTCTGATTCAACCGCCGTAAACCGAAAGAAAAAGAATTGTTCGCGCCCATTGTTTATTGGCGTGGCGCTACATCTGTCGAGAGTCATAATAGTTTTTGGCCTTTTCTATTCCCTCTTGTTAATGGACCTGTCATGAGAACGCGCAGCGTGAGAGCGCCTCGGACGACAATCCGTTGCTTGTGTCGTTCGTCAATTCCACAGTCGGCTGGGTTTTCTTTCACATTTTTCCGTAGTCCTCCCGGCTTTGAAGCATAGATGTAGGGATCGGTGGCGGCCCGTCAACAAGAGTGTCATGGTTTTTATCGTCTCTATATTCAGACATTGATCCGAATCTCCGACCGGGAGGCAGGGGATCGCTTGAACTTGGGCAGAGTCTTAGAAGATCATTCCCGTCGCATCCGGGTCGGTGCAAACGGAGCTCGATATCGATTCGGCTTGAGATCGACGGATGAACTTCAATCGCTCCGTTTCTTTGCAGCTCTCCAGTCGGTGACTACTTGCAGCCGATACGACGACGTTCGACTGCATTGCGATGCGCCAGCGCGAATTGTGATCCATGAGGCCCGGTTTACATCTGAAATGCCTTTGTTAGAGCTCGAGCAGCGCTGTAACCATACTGACCCTGGCACGTACGTCAAGGTGCTAAACGGTCAGCACGGCTACAACTGCTCGGAAGACATCCGTTCCTCCATCAATCAGAGGTGAGTCCGTCTACCTTCCTAAATGTCAATTCATTAGCGCCCCATACGTCCAATTACGAGGGAGCGCGGGGATTTTCGTGACGTGCGACCGAGATGTCGGAAGACTTATCACAGAGCACTCTGAACAGCTCGACCAACAGAGACGAATATAGAATTCGGGACGTAAGTCGGCTCGCGGGTCCCGACCTCGAATCCAGAGGCGACCGATCCGAAATTTTGCTCTCGGGCTAAACAACCCGATTCTCCTCTTCTCTTCTGAGGGAAAGGGGGTCGGACTGCTCCTCGACAACAGAGAATTGACAACACGGTTGATGCTGCTTGCTCATTCACCTTCCCTGGTCAACTCACGTCCTGACAAACATGTAGACCGACGCGACAGTGTGGACGTGTCGAATACGGAGCTGGATGAGAGAGAGGAGAATGGAGGCTGAGACCTACCGAGGAATTAATTTCCCTACCTTGAGTCCGCTAGAGTGGGTAGCAACCTCCGGTCGTTTGTTAGGGTTGCGGAGTAATCAACGAGTTCCATTCACCCCCCGCCCCATGAGACTTCCCGACGGGGTCGACAAGTTCTGAAGTTTTGGGAGACAGTGGAGCCGTAAGGTGATTCGCATTGTTCTCACCCGCATCGAGGAATGTCACGCGGGAGATACCGAGAAATTTCACAAAAACCGAAAGTGGGAAAACGTCGAATGAAAACCTTCGAATGGACACGGTGAATGTCAAGGACGTAACTTTTTGGAGGATCAGTTCGCTCCTCTGAGAACGCCGATAGTGTCCACAACTTTCTCCCCGTCTGAAGATGTCAGGTCCTCCATCGCCCCCGCGATAAGCTCCGCCTTGGAGCGGGGACAAATTTTAGAAGAAACCTCATCCTTCCCTAATGGGAAGAGAAGAGTCGATGAAGTCAGTCGTCAGTGTGAATCGCTAGATCGATGTGAGAGCGTAAGTATTATGTATCTCCTCGAGGTTCCCGAGGACGAGCGCTCAAATTCTTGTGCCGACCGGTGATGGCCCCAGGCTTTTCGACAGAGACTCGCGGCTCTCGAAGACTAAAGTGGGATGCCTTCGGCTTCCCGACCGTGCCATTATTCTCAATCCGATACCTCGAAGTCGGAGGGGAACACCTCGACAGAATACCTGAGGGAAATTAGAGCTGAACGAGCATACCGCGGGACTGTTCGCAGCTTTTTGAATGTCACCTCAATCAAATCGAGACTATGCAGTTGGGAAGATTCCCTCTAAGCAATAGATTAGCCTAGTGATGCTGGAGCAATGGACATAGAGGATTGATACTCCCCCGAGCGGAATAGGTACTCCCTTTCCGCGAGAAGCATGCGCGACGAAGAGGAAAAGACCAGAAATATTCGAAAGAGATCTATTGCAAATTGTCCCATTCTGGAAAGTCGCAGATCCTCTGGCGAAATAGAGCGGGGGCCAATGTGGCTCACTCTTGCTCGGTCTTGTATCAACGAGAGCCAGCGCGAACGAGTCCGGGACTCAATCCCGGTCCAAATGTCTTACGAGTTTGTCAAAGCTCCATCAGTAAAGCCGGTTGGTCAGACAACGTCCATGAAAATCGAGCCGCAGTGGACGGACAAACAAACAGAAAGGTTGTAAAGCTTCGACGGCTGCCAGACGAGCTCACAGTCAATGAGTCGGACGTTGATCCGGACAGGAGGGAAAGAAAACGAGAAACTGTTCCTAAAAAAAGAGAACTTCGTCCCGAACGGCCGAAAAATCGCTCGCAACTTGACCGAAAGATCCGAAGCCCAGTGAAACCGCCTTCGAGGAAGAAGCTCATTTGCGTTAGGCTTCACAATACGCAGCTCGCTCACGCACAACATCCATGACAACTACGGACACCATTATCTGCTCGAAAAAGCCTGCGGCAATTCTTCTCGATACGTCTCCCTACGCGAAGTGTCCTCTCGCTGCTCTTTCTGACTGAGCGAGCTAGTTCTAACGAACGGCCGGCTCGATCAAATCGGTGATCGCCGGGGAAATTTCAATCCTGAAAAATCAGGCCCGAACGGCCTTCCGCCCTTCCACTCGAGACCCCCTATGCTCAAATCAACCTCCGCCTTCCCCCCTCCCCCTTCCCGGCATTGAAGGGCTGAGGAGATGTAGCGAGGGAAGCCAGCACCACAATTGAGCGACATCGACCGCGGCGACGTTTTGTCAGAGTTACCTCATTACCAGCCGTGGACGTAAATCTGTCGGCGGACGGATGAAAGCCTCAGCCGTAGTCGTTGAGCGCTATCGCAGAGGCGGAGATACAATCCCAAATGTGTTTCGGGCGTCTTTGCTTTCGACACTTGACGTTCTAATATTCTTACCGCAGTGTTCCTCAGAAGGAACGGAAGGTCACTGACTTTTGTTTTACGATCTTCGTTCGCTTTCGCGGACTCTAGCCCTTGATTCCCTCGACCGCTGAGCAACATCGGGTCACCTTTACTGCTTCTTCGATCTTCAAGAGATTGATGCTGAGTTTTTCTCCGTTCCTTCCCCTCCCGCCATTCTGAGATTCCTTCTTCAGCTCGCATCGATCCCAGGGACACTGGTTCTCGTCCTTCCTCTTTGCCACATCGGTGTGTTCGCCGGAATCAGCTCTCAGGGTCTTCGACTGAACAGATGGAGACGTTCATGGCGATGATTCAATCTAAGGTCGAGATGCCAAAGCAAAGTTTACCTTGGCCTAGAAGCTTCAACCTGACAGGATCAAATATATGGGCATGCCCGGAAATCGACTCATCCATGAGTAACGTGCAGGCTATAGTTCTATACCCCGCGCACCCCAAGCATACCCTCACGGAGTGTGCGCGGATGATGTCTCCACGCGTGAGCTCAACATAGTCATAGCTGAACTTCCGTCGCGAGCTGTTTACATGGGGCCTCTGGCGGCAGCGGGCTCGCTCGCTATAAAGAGGCTGTCTTACGAGTTTGTTCGTTGATTCGTCGTTTTGTATCGCCAAAAACAAATGCCTTCTCGGCAGCGTCCTCGATCTGATCTCCCTTGCCAGTTACGAAAGAGCCGCGATTGGTTATACCACGACTGGCTATGGATGAATCGATGGATCGTCAGAGAGAGAGAGTCAGCGATAAACCGCGCGAGGAGAAGCGAAATCGTAGATACTGATGTTGGCGGCTGGGATCAACATGCCTTCTGCGCCCTGGTAAATCTTTTCTGGTCCGAGCGTCAATTGAAATGGTTTGCTTTAGCTCCGGGAACCAGTTTCAACACGCAGTCTCGTGTCCTCAAGACAAGTCGCTGCGCATTTGTCGCTTGTCGCTCAGAGCAATGAATTGTGACTTAATTCCCCATCGGTCGCCATAGATGACGCTTTATATGGGTTTTCCGATCGAGACAACACTACTCCGCGGGGGCAAAGAATGCTGCGCTTCTTTCGGTGTGGGGGCTATTGTCGTGCGTCTGCGAGAATGAATTCGGCAACGCGGTCCGCTCCTCCCGGTCAACGCAATGGCGTTCCCGTCTGGTTTTCCGTCGCGGAAGTGTTCGGCCGCAGCAGGTATTCTCTCCTGGGAGAGAATAGCCTCGTAATTTCTCCCATCATTGAAAAAACCCTCACACACTCTAGAATGACACCTTTGTATCCGCGAGGAGCCATGATGGTTTCCGATTATTCGGGAATATGCGTTATCAGCGTGAATCGATGATGACATAACGTTCAGAGACATTTACGAGTCGTCCCCAGCTGCTCGGGCTCGAAACTCTGTAATTCGATGGGTTTTGCGGAACCCATCCCTGTGCTCTACGCGATCGTATGTCGAAACGATTTTCCTCCACGAAAATGCCTATGACGTCCGGGAAGAAGATCCGAAGATAAGGTGTCGAGCCCTTCTGGGAATCAACGATTGTTGACTGACTCTCGGAAGAGATACCCGTCGTAAATCCCGTCGTGCGCTCATCATCGGAAGCGTTTAGCACAGATCAGTAGGCTGACTAGCTTATGACATCGACGCGAGCGGCAATTATTGTTATCTAAAACGACATTCACTCCGATTCCCTCAACACATGTGTGCCGATGTCCGAGCGGACCTCGAGCGCGAGCGTAAGAGTATCAAAGTTCGTAGAGAGTTTGTTTGCGCTGCAGCTAATCGAAGCTGGACCCTCGAGCTCGAATGACCTTGTTTCAACAAAATCTGAGGAACGGAGCGTTGAATGCCTGAAAATTAAAATTAAGCGATGCTGCCAGCATCTTGCGCAGGACTTTTCGGAGATCTTTAATGAACACTTGTTCATCTCCGCGATCGAGCGCAGGAGACCGAGGATCGGGATGCCGAACCAAGGAAGAGCGGACTCTGAAGAAGCTTCGAGGAGCTGAATCGAAAGAAAGGCAGAATCCATTTCAGAGCTCGGGGCAGTCGTTTCTCAGTACCTGGAGGACGCTCGTGCGACTATTTTGCTTTGCTAGGCTAGCCGGCCAGCTGTCTGTCTGACCGTCCTCTCTTCCCTCTTCGGGAAAAGGAGGGAGATCTTTGCTACTTCAGATCCGGAGGCGGATTTAATGGGCACCGAGCGAGCATCAAGGGGAGCCTTTGTGAGTCACTTCTTCGCTTTCGGGGCGCTCCTTCGGGGCTTCATCGGCTCCTGCATTCCTTCGGCTGGGTCGAGAGAAGAATGTCCTCTCAGAATGAGGGAACACAAAAAACGACCATCGGTATATCATCTCAGCCCGGCGAGTCGGACTTTCCGAACGGCTTCAGAAGTCACCTCCGAGCGCTCCGGAAATCGCCTCCCGAGGGTTCTACTTCCACTCCAAACACGTCAGGTGGGCAGGCGCGTCCGCAGAGGGGGGACTAGGGGGCTATAGCACCCTCCTCCTAGATTGGGAGTTCGTAATGGTAAGATATAGGAGCGGGTCGCCATGTTGGAAATCAGCCCCATGCGAGGACCCGATCTAGCCCCCCCCCCGACGAAGAATCCTGTGGACGCCACTGCAGGTGGGATGGCCACACCGTGGAAGTATCATGGGCCG